AAGGATCCAACCGCAGCTCATTTTTTTATTTTTTTGTGACTGGTTCAGCCACCCTGGGGGCACGACTGGCCTAGCATGTTTTGTGAGGGGTCAAACTGTGGTCCCTGTGCTTGCCTCAACTTGGCTAAGCAGATGCTGTAGACTGCTGAGCTATCTCATCGGCCCCCAACCACAGCTCTTTAAATTGTGAGTTATACCTATACTGTAACATCATGTAACTCAGTTGTGTCCCAAATTTTCTGATCAAGGAGATTATGGGGCCACAGAGCATTGTGATTGATGATGTAGAGTGTGCTTAAGGAGAGTCACATGGAGAGAAAACATCCTCTCAGGCCTTCACAGAGAGCAAATTGGTCAAGCAATGGCCATGACTCATCCACATGGCTGACACTGAAAAAGGATCTACAAAGTGTGGTACAGGGTTTCAGGATAAATCCTGAGGGGACTTGACTGAACTTATCAGATACAAAAGTTACATTTCTTGTTATATAGGTCTTGCTTTATCTTGGTCTTAACCATCCAGCAGAAAGGTATAAAAATGAGGTATAAGAGGTGAAGCCATGTTGGTATGTTGGGCTGTAAAGAGCTCAGGTTAACGACTTCTGACATTGCCAGTCCTGTGGGTGACCCACTACTATCATGGACTACTGGACTATATTGTGCTGAATGCAGGCACCTTCAATATCTAAATGACAATGGAATACCCTTCTCTGAAAAAACTAAACAAAAAAAGGGGATACAAATGAATGACCATTTTGTATCTGTATATTCAAAATAGCTAGGCTAGATATACAGCTACATTCTCTTAAATCAATGAATAAGAAGTTTTGTTCTAATAGTGTTTGTGGATGGGATGTCATGTCTGCATCTTGTACAATGAATAACCACTGAGACAACAATGTGCAATGTATTTATTGTTGAAACTGTCCTGCTGACCGGTTTTGAAACTGTATCAGTGCTATTTGTTTCTCAACAAAATTATTAAAAAAATAAAAAAATAAATTATGAGTTACAATGTCTACATGATTGAGGACCTATGAAGTTCAGGAAATTTAAAAAATTCAGACAACTTGGCATGATTAGAAAAATTCCACCTATAAATAGGCCGAAGATACACATGGAAGGTATTTTCCATTCACAACTTGCTTTTAATGTCAGCATTTTGTTTTGGTTCCATGACAGAAGGTCAAGGAGAGTGCCGATAATGCGAACATTAGGCTGCTAAAGTTGAGGAAATGTGAGGTAAAGGGAAGGAAACAGCAAAGATTTCAGGGGGTAGGGTACAGGAAAACTGTCTCATCCCAAGGGTCAAAATCAGGTCGAGATAGATTTCTTTCTCCACAAAGAAGTCAAAAGGTGTGTGCAGCCTCTCATGATGGGGGAGCCCCTGCTGTCTTTTGTGATAAGTAGAATTACCACCTGGAGTTTGCTAGAAGCTCATCCCGTCACACTCTGAGGAGCTATTCCTCTTTGGAAGGCGGCCTTCATCTAATGTTTCCCACATGTTGAAGGCGTCTGAACTGGCCCAGAGTTACATTCAAGGGGATTCCCAGCAATCTCCTCAGAGTGAGAAGTGTTTGAACCATGATCTTCCTCTCTGAAGTTCTTCCCACAACCTTTTACAGACTGTCCTTGGAGTCTGCATTCCTAGACTGGGCAAACAGATTTCACTGCTTCTCTCACTTAACTTTTTTAGAATGGGATGCTTAGCTCCCCTAGAGCTCAGAAGGTGCAGCCCCACTCTCACAATCTGAGCTCTCACCTGCACTGTGCAGAGGAGGACGCACATACTTTTCCAGGATGGAAATCAGTGGAAATGACCTGACTGCGGCATCTAGCTTCATTTTCGTCTCTCCAGGGTTGAAATTTGAACTCTTCTGCTTCCAGGCAAAGCTGCACTGCCATGTGCTGACCTTTTCTGAGCACCATGAAAAGTGAGATGTGCACAGCTATTGTGTGGAATCAATCACCACCAGGGAGGCTTCTCGACCTTCAGTGAATGCCCTGACAGATGCCACCTACGCTTCTGCACTTGCTTAGCTGAACCTGACTTCAGGAGGGGATACAGCAGAAGGAGCAGGAGGCTTTCGGTAGGAAGCTTGAGTGCAAAGCTCGCACTTCCACTCAGTTAGATGTCAGTGGAGTCACTTAATATTCTTGAACCTTAGCTTTTTATTACTTACATTGCTTGACAATTAGATGAGACACCACAGGCAAAGTCCGCACTACATACGTGAAATATCATCAGCCTTCACTGTGAATTATTTTGTGTGCCTGTGTTTTATCACCTCAAAGGGATTGTGCATTTAGAGCCAATTAAATACTTGTGTCTTTCTTTCTACTTTTCCAATGGAAGTGGCTTTAGAATGGAAGGTTAAGCCTTGTATGGACTGGGCACTTTTTCCTAGAGGAAAGCATGGTTGCTGCTCATGTTGGCAGGGTACCTGCGAAGGAAGCATGGCTGTGTGTGCATAGGAATCCAGTGAGAGAAACAGAGAGATGTTCTGAGCTCAGTGTAAGCATTAGCAAGGGTAGGCTCGAGGGGGATGTATTTTTTATTCTGTCAGCTTGAATTCCCTTTCCAAATTCCATTCTGGTTATATGATCAGGCTACTGCTGTATTTATGGGTGGCCACAGCCTGCCTGGAGGGAATATTTAGCCAGAAAGGAAGTGTTTTCTTCTGAAGGGGATGGGAGAAGCAGAGGCCGTCAGAGCAAACACAGAAGAATGCGCCTCTGATTCGGTGACTACAGATACCTGGATCTGAAGTGCGGTGCCCTCACTTGTGTGTTAGAGCCTGGCATTCTCTTTCTGTATAGGCGCAGTGCATACCTCAGAATGTGGTGTGGATGTTTAGTGAGATAACCGTTACAGGTGGCCATAGCTTAGAGACTAGGTTCATCACAGATGTTGACTCTGACTCGCATTCACATAATTAGCTCTGTTGACTTTTTTACCCTTATTCATGTTTACGGTAGTATAGGGGGAATTATTCTCCCTCCTATGACAGACTACTCAGAGGATAAATTCTTAGTGAAGTGCACAGTGGCAGCCTGAATGTACACTGCTGTCTGTGAGATTCGTGGTTGTGCTTTCTGTTGGTCAGGACGCAGGGAGGCTGGCCCAGAGCGAAATACCCCTCATGCCAGGGTGAGGTTCAGAGTTTCTTACCACATTTCAACCAAAGTAACCTCCTGTCAATTTTCCTGAGATTTTGCCCCAAATTCATTGAATGAACATTTCCATAGTTAAAAATAAATTGAAGAGAATATTCATACTTTGCTCCCTTTTTGTTCCTTACATGCAGTTACTTTCCTGGGGTGCACAGGGCCGAGGCACACTAACTTGCAACCTGCAAAGAGCACCCCCCCATGCACCAGGCCAGCAAAACATCCATGAGTTTATTCAGGACTGAGCCAACTTCTCCCCAGCCGTGAACTCGGCTTGTCATGTCTCAGGGACAAGGCGGGAAGCTGGCTGTGGTGGGCAACGGTTTTCATTTCTAACGCACATATGGGAAAGCGCTATAAAAAAAAAAGAAAAAAAAAAGGTCCACAAGAACATGAAAAAGAGGCATTCATTCTCTAATGGGCTCTCTGTTCCAGTCTCCCTCTAGTTGAAAAGCATTTCCAAAGTATCCCCAGCAGCACTCCCGCACTTTATAGCCAGCAGCTTTAGAATCCTCAGATGCTTAAACTCAAAACCTCCTGACACTCTGTAATCAGAATTCAACATTTACACCCAGCCCCAGGCTGCTACTTTCTCTTCCAACCTGAACCAACACAACCCCTTGCTTGTAAAATATGGCCAAGTCTCCGACTTGCCAGCCTGGCCAGACACTCTCAGGCTGGGTGAGACATATAAGCCAGGAGCTGGGCTGGGGGGCGAGGAACGCGTGAGAAAGAACCCAAGACTGGCTCAATGCATTTTTTTTTTAACTTGCAGGGTGATGGCAGTTTTTGTCAATGGCAACCATTATCCAAACTTGCAGTTACGGAACCCTTGCTGCCAATCTCCTTAAGCCTCATTTTCTCTTCATTGCAATGGAAGTTCCTGTCCCTGCTTTAGAGAAATAGAAACTGAGCCCCCCCAAAGTGACACATTTCCTCTCAAACATACGTACGGTGGTAGTGGGAAGACTGGAGTCACTTCTGGCTTTGAAACCTGATGTCTTTATCTCCTACTACTGATGGGGCAGAGAACCCTAAATGCTTTCCAAAAGTCTATCAGAGGAGAAGCGTTTCCCACAAGTGGAGAAAATTGTTCTCCAGAGCCTGAATGGGGAGAGGTGATTCTAGAGAGATACTGCCGGCTCTAAGTATGTAAACATGCGTGAGTTCTACCTGAGTAGCAGGGAGCAGGATGTATTGAGGGTCCTCTGCCTGAAAGAGTGGAAGAAAGCACCCAGCACTTCCACTTGTTAGTGCTCTGGCCCTAGACTTGCCTCTGATCTCCCACCTCCAAGCATCTTTTCCCACAGGGTGGATATTGTGGGAACCAGATGAAGGCATGCTTCAAAGCTCCATAAATTGCCAGGGCTATTTTGATGATGTAGAATTTTGTGTTCCACACACAGTCCTTTAGGAGATTCCTCTTAACCTATCCCTAAGAGAGAAAACTCTACTTTTATACTAAACTTCCCCAGCATTCAAAGACAAAATAATATCCACAGGTGAATCAACCAGGCACAGGCATTAAAGAAAATTCTAAAGAAAGGTAGAGACAAAAACTTCACAAAAGTTCCTTCCAAGGTGACTATTCATACAGCCAGAACAAACAGAAGGAAATAGAGGATCAGAGGAGGGCAGGCAATCAGCGAAGGAACAGTGGAGGTGCGCGCACAGGATTGTAATCTACCTATCAGCCTTTTACACCAACAATAAAAAAAGAAAAAGCCAAAGTTCTATAAAAATAAAACACAGCCCATCTGGTAGCAGGAAGACTGACAAGTACATTGTAGCACATCATACTGATTTTAGTGATGGAGGAGGAGACTTACCTGTCCCTGGTTTGTGGGAAAGACCTAGGACCAGCGCACACAGGATCCCAGAGCGGTACCTGGCGACAGCAGCGGTTCCCACGTGCGCTGTCCCGCGTCGCCGGCCGCACTGTCTTTGTGCAGCCCCGAGGCAGGCGCGTGTGTCTGCGCGCGGGAGCGAGTGTGACAGTAGGCAGGCTGTGGCCAGAGCAGCCAGCTTGGGCTGGCTTATATAGCGAGCGCTTTGCTGTGTAAGGGGACGCCTCGCCTCCAGACATCCTTCCCCACTTTTGCAGTTGGTGAATTAAAGGAACAGCCCTCCCAGCGGAACAGGGTTAGCTCATGCGAGACGCAGCCGCTCTGGGCCCTGGGCCAGGGAAGGAACTCATTTGCATACAATTTATGGCGAAAGTAGGAATTCCCGCTTCCTCAGCCCTCCAGCAGGCAGAGTAGCTGTTCGCGAGGTGCGACTTTAGCATTGCTCCCCAAAAGGATTTCTAATTGTGAAACAGAGGCCCGGGGTGGTGGTGGGGGTGGGGTGGGGTAGGGGACAGGATCCTGGCTTTGCTCCTGTACTCCAAGCAGGCTGGAAACGCGAGCCGAGCTCGCCGGGGCTCTGGGCAGCAGCTGCTCAGTGGCACCTCGGAGAAAGCACAGGGGCGAGCCAGTTCCTGGAAAGAGGAGACGGCTGTCAAAGGCCTTGGGCGGTTCATGTTTCTCTGGCCAGCAGAGAGGTAACCCAGGATTATTCTCAGCAGGTGGGTAATGCGGCGCTGGGAGCGCAGGCCAGTCTCCCTTAAGTGGGAGCCAGCCCTGACTCGCTGCGGAGGATCCCTTCCCCAGCCAGAGTCCTCAGGGAGCGGCTTGTTTCTGCCCCTCTGAGGTGCCTTCTCAGTTGGATCTCCTGGGAAGGGTCCGTGCAAGTTCCTTTCAGTACTGAGGCGGTGTACTGCAACCTTTTCTTTAAAGAAAGTGATAATAAAGAGTAATGGCTTAATCCAGGAGCCGGGAGCTGTGCCTTTGCTCTCCAGCCTGCTGTGGATGGTATCCAAGCTCTGAGTCACCAGCTGGTTTGGTGGTTAGCATGCACTGAGTGTCCCTGGGGCGTGTGGGGCCACTGGAAGGAGGCACAAGTAGCTGCTCCTGCTACAGGGACTCCTGGACTTGTCCTGTGAGACAACACAGGGAAAGAAAGCACCAGGCAACCTGTAACCAGCACTGAGCCAACCCTCCCTTCTTAAGTCTGTATTAAGTGCTGCACAGGGTACTTCCTGAACACTGTTTCATTACCTCCTTGCAGTACTAAGCAGGATAGGCACCAGGGTCCCCCTTTTACAGAGGAAAAAAACTAATGGTTAGAGAACTCATGTCACTTCACCAAGGGAATCCATGTGGGAAACACGTGAATCACACCTGTCTCCATGACGTGCTATTGTCCAGGAAGTGTATGCTGTTATTTAAAAAATATTTTGATCCTTATTAAATTGCTCCACCATTTATACAGAAATCATTGCCATATTGGAATATGGAAAATGATTTTTATTGTGTAGAATAGTTACAAGCAATCTTTGATCTTTTATTGACTACTAATAATAGAGGTTTTTAAAATGATCTATTTTTAATGCTATAAATAGTTTGCATAGTATTTATTGTTAAGGGCCCCAGTCTCCCCATCTGAAAAAAAAATCAAGACAAATTTTTGTCCTCCTTATGGTAGCTCTGACTCTGGAGTCTAGAAATCTCTGCTCAACTGACCCTCCCAGATGACAAGAAAGCTTATAAATACTCGTGTTATAGAAAAGTGCGTTTGAACTTTTAAACCACTTTGGCTGATTTAAATATTGATTGTTTTAGAAGATTTTTAACTCTGTGTTCTAACCAAGGCATAGTCCAGTAGAACCAGTTTGCCTCTTTCAACCCATAATGAAATGTCCCATGCCTCTTGGCTTTAGTCAATCTACCAAACTCATCTTGTGGGTTAGCAAATAAACTCTTCAGTGTATGTGTTATATGGCACACAAACTATGTACATCAAATGCATGATCTTCTGTATATATACATATAATTATGAGTATATGCTTAAGTAAGACAAGAGAGCATGCTAGAAAAGTGCATCATAACACTGTACCTTCTTCTGGGAATGTCCCCAACCTGAACCTTATCCAGTCCTCTCTCTGTAGATAATCACTGGTACATGCTGATAGAAAGTGGTTCAGCCAGCTATAGAGCTACAACCCACTATAGCCAGGTGTTCCTCTAGGCCCAGAAATGGCCTAGTGAGGTTGACAAAAAGACTATTGCTACATATTAATTAAACAGCTATCAAAGAAGTACATTATTATTGCATTAGGAAGGAATGACTACCTTTATTTTTTACATCTTTAGAAGGGGACATTTGTAGAAGAAGTTTTCTTGAAATGAGATTTTATGCTTGAGTGAGGAGTACTCAAGGATTTATTTTCTATCCCTGGACTATTTTGTTGCCTCTGTAATATGCAAATGGAACTGTACACAACATGTGTTCTCCAGTATCTGTGTCTTTGCTTATGCTCTGTGTGACTTAGAACTCTCCCATCTCTTCAACCTGTCATCCTGTTCTGATCCAGCTTCACCACAGAGCTTCTTAGGTTTTTTCCAGAAGCAAAGTCTTCACACACATCTCCTAAAGCTTATGGCACTCACCACTTCTGCAGGCATAATTATGCATGTGAATGTCTAGACTTTTCTCTAAGACTCTAGGTTTTTCTGCAGTCGGGCCACAGCTACTCTTTCTAGGCCTAAAAACCAAACCTTGAGCATTGTACAAACTCAGCAAATGTCTAACGGATGAAATAATGTGCAAAGGAATATTTGATGTGCTGTGCTATAGAATTAGATTTTTCCTGTTGCACCCATATAACTTGAGGAGGAACCTGGATTATCATACCCAACACATTCTCTGCACAGATGAGGAAACGGGCCACAGAGAAGTGACTTATCCTAGGCCACTATGGCTACTGTGATACAGGTGGTCATCACAGGCAGAACTGAACAATGGATTCCAAGAAGACAGCAGAACAAAAGATGTTGGTGGAAATCAGTAACCAGTTATCATCTTGCTTAGCAGAGGGTGCCACACATTTCGGGGTGTGCCTCTAGCACAGTTGTATCCTTTCCAGTCCCGTAAGCACTTGTTTTCCACGTGAGAGGGCAGAATGAATGCTTGCAAACACCACCTCTGCATAGAGCTCCCAGCCAAGGATTGATTTTATTGTTTCATGTTTGCAGTTCTTATTCATGAGGCGCTGGTGGCAGTTATGGTTTGGAGGCCAGAGAGAAAGTGGAGGTTATGTCAGGTGAAATCATTCTCATTTCCTGAAAGCTCTATTAAATGTTATACACTGTTGTCCAGACAGACCAGGCATTGAGTAGAGATAACTGAGACTGTCCTTTCAGAGGAAGCTGGATGTCCACTTCCCCTCAGCACTGCCCCTGCCCACTCTGATTATGCCCGCCTCTAGGACTCCTACCTCTTCCTTTTCCTGGGACTCACCTCACATGAAAACACCCATCCAAAGTCCTAGGTGTTCTGTAGCTTCCAGAAATCTCTCCCAGAGCACTGGAGGAGCTCAGATCTAACACATCAGTCATTCTGCTAAACATGTTGGCTCAGAGTCAGGGCTTCTCAAACTGTCTGCAGGTCTTTGTGGAATGCTCTTCTTTTCTATCTCTTCTACCTTTTCTGTGGACAACAGAGGGCAAAATGATTTCAATGAAGGAGAAGTGGGGCAGAAGGGAGCTTCCTTACCAGAGAGAATAAGGTAGGTCAGCTGACTCATCAGCCAGGATATTCAATTATTTGGCCAGCATAACAGAGTAGAAAGGAATTAGGCTGAGAATAGGTTCAAGTCCTGGTATCACAGCAACTTACTACATGACTTTAGGCAAATCCCTCAGCTCTCTGGCCCTCTCTATGCTAGATGTCAAGCACTACTCAAGTTTTTGAGTGGCTCTTGCTACTTAGTTCAAGATGAACTTGCTATACAGTCTATCCAGACTTTAGACTTGCAGTCCTCTTGCCTCCGTTTTCTGCCTGCTGGGATTACAGTGATGTACCATCCTGCCCAACCCAAAGGGCCAGTTTCTAAGGATCTTAGAAGTTCCAAATTTTTGCATTAAACACTCAAAGAAATAAATTAGAAGTCTGCGAACCTGTGAAAATTCCATTACCTAGGATGAGCACTACCTTATCAACCTGACAAATTACCGTTTTATCAAGACTGACTTCATGGCATTGCTGCCAAGAAAGTTTTCAGGACCATCAACCAGAGAAAAGGGCCCCTTGCCATGCTTGTCCACATTCCAAGTCTTCGTTTTGAGTACACTGCGCACAGTATTTCCCCTGTTGTTTGTCCTACTAGACCATAGACATCCAAGGACAGATACAGTACCCTGTTACCTGCTTATTGGCAGATCTGTTTATAGCTAGCTCCAATGTATGGCTGATGTCTATGCCATGCTATTTGTTCATTATTGTGAGTATCATTCATGCATATCACAGCCTATAGAAAAGCATATGACCTATAGTAGATTTGGGAGGTAAACAATAAAAAGATTCTTGAAATCAGATGACAGTCCTTTGATATTGGTATGGGAGACATTGAGGGCCAAGACTGTACCATGACAGAAGCGTGAACACTTCAGATCATGCTCCCATGGAAAGACTGGCAGGCTAGCTAGTTGTCTGCATGAGGGAGAAGGCAGTACAGGCATAACGTTGGCACAAGTGTTCTTGGGTTCCATTTGGCTCACATACTTACAGGGTGAATTATCTTGAGAAAATGTTTCCACTCTGAAACTCAGTTTAGTCTTTTGTGAGTCTAGGATAGAAAGCCATACCTTGAGTACCTCCCAGAGTTGGGGTGAAGACCATGCATGAGAGTGGAAGAGGAAGTTCTCTGCAAACAGATGACCTACCTAGACCTTCTCGATGTTGAGTGAGGTCTCCTTGACCCTCAATACGTCTCCATAGAAAACTCACACTTTGCATAGCTAAGTTGTGCTGAGAAGCCACCAGTCCCAGCCTTTACGCGGAACATTTCTGGAAGCTGCAGGGATTAGCAGAGAGGAGAGAGCTGAAATCAGCTGGCACTGCCTTGAAGACTGACTTAGCTAGAGGCTGAAGAAACAGAGATGCTTTCTCCTGCCGGCTGGAGAAGCAGGTTTGGTCATGTTTACTGGTCTGAGC